CATCTCCTTCGGAAATCATCTCTTCAATTCTCTCATTGTTAGGCTCGATACGAAATAAGGAACGAGGAGCCCCTTTATATCAGTGAAAATACGATCTCTTCCAAAGATAAATAATAATTTTATTTTATTTTAAATTCATTTGTATTTTACTCTTCTACATAAAGATAAAAATATAATATTCATTTCTTATGGTTCACACACAAAAATAGAATATGAACTATTTACATTTGAAAAATCATATCACTCATTAGGAAATAAATTAATTAATAATTTAATTTAGTGAAAAAAATTCACTTGTCCACATGATTAAGGAAATTAATTTTAATCATTTCCTTAACCATACTACACAAACAAGTAGAAAAATAATATATATTAAATAATATATTATTTCTAGTAATGAATTTATGGTAAGGGTGAAATTATCGATTATTACAATATGATTTATAATGTGAGGGTCTACATATATGTTACGATGTATGGTCTAGGAGTGAATGTGTATGCTAGGACATGTAATATGAGAATACACGTATATATTATAAAATATGATGCAAAAGTTCATAGATGTATTATGATTTCAACTGTAAGTACTATGATTATCATTGCATAAGTGTATTTTGATTTACTTTAATGTCACATTTTTATGTCTTTATTACGTAGTTGTAATACCATTTGTCATGACATGTTTTATGCATTTATAGATATATATGATGTGGAAGTGCAAGTAGATGCCATGATGTATGATTAGGGGCTCATATGTATACTATGATTTTTCATTGTACATACCATGACCTGCACACATGAATTATGATTTACTTTAAATAAGAGTTCTATCTTCTTATTATGCATCTATCATGTTACGAGATGGTAAGTTGCTAAAGAGGCCTTACTTAAATAAATTTACAATGAAATATCTTTTGCAATCATAGACATGTGAGTATGAAATTGTATATAGATATCGTGAAATGTGATTTCAGAATTCATAAATATATTATGTTTCTATTACATAAATTAGGACCTATCCATGCACATATATATTATGATTTATTATGCACATATATATTATGATTTATTTTGACTTAGAGCTTCACCTCTTTACTCTACACCTATTATTTTATAAGGTTGCAAGTTGCTTAACAAGTCATAAAAATGTGAGATTACCATGAAAAGTTTCATGCAAATGAATTAAGTTGTACATAACATAATACAAGCTAACTTAAATAAAACACAAAAAAGCTTATATTTACTAAGTCATCACTTATTATAGATCCTATTTTATATATAAGAATATTATTAATCCATCCATATGATATGCAAAGAGATGAGTAGGTATGGGCCTTTGTCAAAATAGATATAGATAACAACCTCTGAACATATTTTTATGTACATATTTTTTTGGATCAAATATACATATGTGGTTTGAGATTATAAGTTTATAACATATGTACAACTATCAAGCATCACGGTCCATAGGTGAGGTCGTTCATTTTGTTTAGCAATAAAATTTTTTTTTTCTGCTACACTCTTCTTTATAGTTGTAGTAAACTAAAAAATATCATCTTATCTCAATCATGAATGTATGATATATGTAGAATTTGAAGTAGTATGTTACATGAAACCCTATAACAAGGCTTAGGTGTGTTCCTAAGACTATATCAACAACTTAAGTATACAATACTTTATCTTCTCAAATCCTCTAAGATTGGAGTGTTTAAAAGATGCACTGTCCACTTGGCACCAAATTTGCGACCAACTTAAATGTTGGACTTGGTTAATTTCTGACTCAAGATGTGTGTTATGATTATAATATTATCATACTAAAAATTGAAACATATATCTCAATTAATTTGACTAATGCTAAGGCTTGACAACTAATAATATAGATTTTTCAATGTATTTGAATGAATACAATATTAAAATAAAAACTAAAAACAAATAACATTGTAAAGTTAAAATAATTTCATTTGTTAAATATGAATCATTATTTATTTTTGTTTTCAAACTTACATAAAATTTTATATTTTTTAAATAATATAATATTTTTTTAATCTGGTAAATAATTATGTACGATATATACGTTTATAATTTGCACACATATACATTGATTGAAAACATATACCATGCTACTTTATAAGCTGACTTGACGTAATTATCATTTACTTATCTTTTATTATAAATATTCGATAAAAATTTGTAACTCTCAAACATAATACAAGCTCACTTAAATAAAATAAAAAAAACTTATATTTACTAAGTCGTCACTCGTTATAGATCCTATTTTATAGATAAGAATATTGTTAATCCATCCATATGATATGCAAAGAGGTGAGTAGGTATGGGCCTATGTCAAAATAGATATAGATAACAACCTCTCAACATATTTTGATGTACATAGTTTTTTGGATCAAATATACATATGTGGTTTGAGATTATAAGTTTATAACATATGTACAACTATAAAGCATCACGATCCATAGGTGAGGTCGTGCATTTTGTTTAGCAATAAAATATTTTTTTTTCCTGCTACACTCTCTTTGATAGTTGTAGTAAACTAAAAAATATCATCTTATCTCAATCATGAATGTACGATATATGTAGAATTTGAAGTAGTATGTTACATGAAGTCCTATAATAAGGCTCAGGTGTGTTCCTAAGACTATATTAGACAACTTAAGTATACAATACTTTATCTTCTCAAATCCTCTTAGATCGGAGTGCTTTTACCCAGCTTACCCCTAACGTAGTGTTTAGAAGATGCACTGTTAACCTGGTACCAAATTTGCGACCAGCTTAGAGATTGGACTTGGTTAATTTCTGACTCAAAATGTGTGTTATGATTATAATATTATCATACTAAAAATTGAAACATATATCTCAATTAATTTGACTAATGCTAAGGTATAATGACTAATATGGTAAAACGAATATTAGTCAATCATTTACCAAATGATAATACCAAGGGTTCGAAATTTCATCCTTTATCCTTACTCTTTGACTGAAAACTCGAATGTTATCCGATAAATTATTTAAAGGTTTTAATTCAAACCCTGTATTCACCCCTCGCCAAAATACAAAGGTTCATGTGGATATCAACTAGCAAAGCATATAGTTAACCACCTCATTCGACAATGACAACATGTAGCGATTGTTCCAAAAGAACTGCCTCATTTTTCTCTCTTTATATCTTCTACTCTTTGATTGATTAAGCAACAATGCTTTGCGGTCATGTCAATATAAAAACATCAATAATTTTCTACGTATCATGTGCCTTCATAGTATGAATTATTTATGCTCAAAATTCCATGCTGAATCAATCTTAATGGTTATGATGTATTGTGCCTAAATATTTGAATTATAATTAATTAATTAAACCCCTGAAACTAAAATGCATAGGTTTGGTAACAATTAATTTCTCTTATTTCATTTTCTCCTCCTTATAGTTTCCAAAGAAAAATGGACACCAAGTGAGTTCGTTAAATTTTAAGTTTATATAGGGAGGCTTCTTTAGGATAGGTCTTTTGGGAGTTAATTACATTTTACTCCTTATAGTTAAACCTCTTATAGTTAAACCTCTTTTAACATTCCAATCTTTAGACTTCAAAAATATACATTAAAATTCTTATAGTTAAACATTTTTAGCATCCTAGTCCTTAGGCTTAAAAAGATTTACATTGAAATTTCTAGTCATAAAAAAAATATAGCATGTGACAACAAATACATAAATGATATAAAAATAATAGAAAAAAAAATAATTTTATCGATGGTGATAGAGGGTGATGCCATAAATGACTGTTGTAATGGTGGTCGACGAAAACGATAATATGGTCGACCTTATCAGTGTCACAAATGGTACGAAAACAATAAGCTAAAAAATAGTTTTGACTCGATCTATATCTTTTGTCAATAAAATCAATAATGTTAGGATAAATAAGATTAAATATTTTACTTTCATAATTATATATATGTTAATATAAAATTGAGCCCAAGAAGGGTACCTCAAAATAGAATCATTTATAGTCTTTAAAATAGAACAATCAAATCGGTTTTACACCAATTCAATTCAGGTTTAGTTTTGATTTGGTAGATTTTTCGATTCAACCTGAACACCCCAATTAATAATGTTATCAGTGACTGAAACAATTATTATCCCTTCTACTATAAATGTTGTGAACTGCATCCCGAACCAACTCATAGCGTTGGTTTGGTGGGATAGAACATGATTTGCTCTACGTTATTTTCTCTCAATGTGAGAGAAGACCCTTTCATAGAACATCAGATATTCTAATCTTGAGAAATCAAAGCGAAGGTTTTCATGAAATACCCACACTGGTTTATGTTTAGCTTCATATGTTTACCAAGAGTTGGATCGAGTAGGATGTGTCAAACCTAAACCACAATGGCCAGTCATCCTAATTCATTTGTTGAAGGACCAGCACAGTTTTGACAGATTGAACACAACTGGCCATCATTCTCTTTTGATTGGTTTATAATTTGTTGGACAAAGCCACATGATTTTGGAAGACAAATGATGAAGAAGAGTGGTGCTGATAGATACAGACAAGCTCAATAATTAAGTTTGTTGAGCAGCATGAAGAAACCAGTAGAAGTGGGTCATCTTCTGTAACACTCATTGGAATATAGAAGAATTAAAGAATCAAGATTTAAGCTAGAACAGTATTTTCCTGATAAACACATTAACCATATTACTTGGGACTAGGAACTTTTTCTTAACCAACATTATTCTGGGGTTAGGGGTGACCTAACATCATGAGATATAATAAGGATTTAAATCTCAATACAAGTTCAGTAACCATTTGGATTAATATGGAATTGATATATCAAAGCAATGCAACCAACCATCTACAAGCAAAGAGGAAAAGGAGATACAAGAACAAAGAAGTGATGCATAATACAAGATTTGCTGTGTAACTTCATGATTTGCAGCACCAATTATGTAAAAGACCAAACAATTTTGAGATCTAAATGGGTGAAATTCATGTGCATGCATCTTCAATAATCTATGCACTTCAACATTTATAAGAACTATCAGAAGTAGAGTTAAGAGTCATCAAAACACATCACAAGTACCCAACCCAAGAAAATGCTGTTGCCACAAAGCCTTGGACATCAACTGCTTAACAAGATGGAAATAATAGAACCAATTCACAAAGATTAAAATCATTCAGAAAAGCTTTTGCTGACCACCCACCATCAATGACATAAGCAGCAAATTAAAGCACAACCCTTTCCCCGAAGAACAGTAAAAGAATGTTGATGGAGATTTGTTCTCACTGACCCAATTAGGAATATGAAATAGAAGCGAAGTTATCAAGATGAGTCAAAGGAGAGCAAACTTATTAGATCTAAACTGTTGAGAAATTAGGGTTTGTTATTGAGGAATCGCAAAAGTTTGCAACACTAAATACTTATTGATGCCAATGAATTTTGGGATCAAAAAGATTTTGGTCTAATTCATAATCTTACAGAAACTTATTCCCTTCAACACACTCACCCCAAAAGATCTTGAACTAACATCCATAAGAAGGAAGAGGAGAAGATAACTACCCAAGAAGAAGCCGCAGGCTTACGACACCATGGGCAGGGCGGTGGCGCAGTCGAAGCCGCAGCTGCATCGCGGGCACTCATCGAAGTTGGAGACGGGGAAGGAGGCGGAGAGGGGACCGACGTAGAAGCTGATATCGTAGTCGTTCCTCACCACCTCGTTGATGCCGAACCAGGCGAACAAGACCTTGACGCTCACCCCCTTCAAGTCCGTCAGCGATCCCGACTTTACCTTCCCGGTGATCTTCCGGTCGTACTTGAGTATGTACCCTCCCTCCACCTTGAACTCGCAATTCCCGCTGAGGTACACCTCGAAGCCCCCATCCCCGTTCAATATGTAGCTCTTCACGCCCTCGGGGAGGATTCCCTTGGGGAAATCGAACTTCTCCAGCATCTCGTAGGCGGAGGGAGTCTCGGAAACCGAAGCCTCGAGGGCGAGCGCGGAGATCAGGAGGAGGAAGAGACAAGATCGAATTTTGAGGACCGGCATTGCCGACAGGTGGGATTTGGCGACGGCTAAAGACTGGAATTCTTGTAGAGAAATCGGAGAACAAGGAGTAGATGAGAGTTTGGGCTTCAAAGGAAAGGGGTTTTGATGCCGGAGGAAGGAGGAATTGATTTCAAGAGAAGGAAGAAGAAGCGTGGTTTCATCGAAGACGAGAGAGAGAGACAAAAGGGTTGGCAACAGACTGGAGATTTGGATGCATTGGAGTTGCGTCTAAGAACGCTAAAGACCAAAACATATACGTACTCACAAGAGGCCAAAATCCTTTCCCCAAACCAATCCATCTAAACTTCATCACCTGGCTAAGACGATCAAAGTTTGTTTTGGATCTTTGCATGCCATCATATGAGAAATAATCGATTTTTTCCTTCCAAGAAAATATTATCTACTGGTCTCTCCATGATTTTCCAAACTCCATATTTTTTTATTTTTAGATTAATCTTTTTATCATAATAAAATTTTGCTTAAATATTAATCAAATGATGATATACGAGACCCACTTATCACGGTTGAAAGCCTGACGTATCTTTTTGTTATACAACTGCCAACATTTTTATGAGTTCCAAGTGTTGTCACAAATTACTCATCAAAATTTTCCCTGGACAATACGATGGTGATATACTAAACCCACTTATCACAAAGTTCCAATAGAAGGTGCTAACTAGTCATATCACCACAAAGTTTTAGGATCAAAACTAGTCTCATTTGTATGACTTGCAAGTGGCACGACCTACTCATCAAAATTATACCAGGACACTAATATAATAGTGATATACTAGACTCATCATAAAGTGCTAACTAGCCTGATGGGTAAAAACTTCATATCATCACAAAGTTCTGGGATCAAAACTAGTCTCCATCATTTTCCTTTTGTAAGAAGAAAAAGGTTGGTTATGGAGATGATGTTTGCCATGGTGGATTCCATCTCTTTCTCTGAAGAAAATGATTCATCTTGGAAACAAATAATGCTCGACTTGCTAATTCCTGAATACACCATTCTTCTCCTACTACTTACTATGCATGAAGTTGGAAGCAACCCCCTCTAATGATTAACCAAATCAAATTCATAATCTGGCACAAGTTTAGGTAGCAACAAAGATTTCCTGATACATCATCCTAGGTAACAATTTATCTACATTGGCATTTGGCACATCAGGGATGGAACTCAAGTCTCTCAACTGTTACTAAGAAAAATTTACTACTGCACAATACCAAAAGAAAACTATGGCAGTATCATGTTTTCTTTAACCAGTAGCCTGAAGAAATAAATCCAAATGCATCAAGATAAATTATTTGAGCAATAAAATCATATGAAGAGGCTCTTACTTGACACAAGTCAAATCAACAAGAGAATGATGATGAGAAAGTAGACACCGTTCCATCTTCTGTCAAAATTATGACAATCTTCATTTTCGTGCTGAAACGCTTGGGAAATTATGCTAGTGAAAACACTTGAAATGGAGAAAATTTTGTGTTAGAAATCTTAACTCCACGTGTGAGATTCTTGTAAACATCATCACCTCTGCTACCAGATGGCCTTCCACATCTTACTGGAGCTTTTCTGCAAACAGTTGCTTAGACTGCAATGAAGCACTCATCTACAAAACCAATATTAGGATGCAATGAATCATTCGATAAAGTTGAATCTCACCTGATTAATCTTTAAATTCAAATTCTGACTGCTAATCCATTAACTCATGACTTGGAAAGAACTGCAATCTAAAAGGATGACCTATGCATACTGCAGTGACTCAAAAGCAACAGCAGCTGCAAGCTGCAAAATCTACTTCTTTCAGTAAACACAAGTGCCTTTAATAAATTGGTCTAAACACATGTGCAGCTTTCTATCTCCACCTGCCTTTCACAAATGTCGTTGGGTATAGATGTCGAAATCTATAAAACAATTGGGCCAAGCAGAGTCTCCACCTTCCTTTAATAAATTGCACATAGAGAAATTTGGAGATACTATTGATATAGACGGAGTGCATCTGTCAACAAAATGGCATCTTCTCTTGACTGGCCTGTTTTCCAGACCTTAAAATCTTCATCGAAAAAGCCTTCTCTCATCCAATACCTTAGAGATACCATGTCAAACGGTCCTTGTTCATTGCCAGAAGGGTCAACATAATGCCATGTCTTGTCTTCATCATCAACGTGGTCGCTTATTCGCATATTGACAGTTATCTTAGAATCTTGAACTCCATGGTCTTCTTCGATTTCAATTACATGACCACTGCCAGAATTATTGACATCAGCAGCTTTTGGCAGTTGGCACTCTGCAACAAAGACCAGGTCAATAGAAGAAAGATTATATTCTCATGTAAAGAGTGGAAAACAATGAGTAACAGCTCCATTGTGCAACATCTAAATGAACCAGAGTGCTTTTGTTGTAGAGCTGTGTTATAAGGACAGCATATGGCAGGAAAAAACATAATTTGAGAAATCAGAATAAGAGGTGAGAAATCGGAAAGTTCAAAATGTTCATAAAAGGCAGCAGGTGAAGATGGTTTTTGACCAAAGACGATCGACCCAGCTGAAGTCCAAGTTCGGCCACTGCCCAAAGATTCAGGCCCAGGCTCAAGTTCGGTCAAGCAGCATCAGATCCAATTCAATCCCTCCTAGATCACTAGGAGTTGCACTCGAAGTGAAAAGGCTTCACTGATTATGAGTCTAGAGTCCCCCGCATGGGACTAAGAGTTGGACTCCAATTGAGAATCCTTCTCTAGTAAGAGTCGTCCCCCTCTACAATTATAAATAAAATGGTTTGGCAGCCCCATAGGAGCATGGAATTGAGAGAGAGGTGACAGCAAGAGAGAACCATTTAGAAGTCCGAGATATTGCTCAAGAAGTCGAAGCTTGTTACTTAGGAAGTCTTTTTGTAATTACATGATCAGATATTCTTTTTTCAAGAAGCAATCAAGATCATTTTTCCCTTTTAGTTTTCTCTTCTTCCACCATCTCTATCAATCCTCCCACAGAGCGTAAATCCGCTCAGAGGAAGGATCAAGATCCCCAAATCCTTCCCCTAAACAGAACAAGTGGTATCAGAGAGTCGATCCTCAGCTGTGCATGGTTACGACGAATATAAAATTCAAGTGAACTTCAGGATTTGGAGATTCAACACCAATCGTCGACGAAAAGAGATGACAATGCAATGCAATAAAGTACTCCAACAGCATCGCCAAATCTTGTTGCCCAAGTCACATAGCTCATGCAAAAGATGAAGGATATAATGTGTCGGATCCAATCCCAAGCCAACAAGACAACAAAAGAAGCCAACAAGACAACAAAACGCGACGCAGATAAGTGTGTCGCAGCAAAGACACTCTGTCAGTATAGCCTTGTTATTTATCTTTTGTCTCGTTGTTAACTCTTATTGTTAATAGTTACTTATTGTTAATAACAATGATATTAACTATTGGTTAACTCTTGTTAATAATGGTTAATGGTTGAGTTCTTTAACAATGGTTACACAAAACATGAGTTCTTTAATACTTTTATAGATGGTTAATCTTATGTAATTTGTTGTTTTGGTGGCAATCTTTTGAATAAAAAATTATATGAAACTCATATATTATGTAATTTCTATTTAACGATTGCTTTTATCCTTAATAGTATTTTTTTATAATTGTTATATTGGTAAGCGCCTCGCTTCGCTCCACCGAGCACCTTGGGTGTTTTTCAAACCTTGGCACTTTTGAGTGTCTTTGACAACACTACCTCTTCATGTCAAGAGGGAAATTACTGCTAACATACTAAGGTAACTACCACTACCTTAAGTAGTTTTCCTCTTGACATGATGTAGTGGTTTAGTTAAGACCCCATGATCCTTGTAGTATAACAATGATGAGTCAGTTCCTATAACTAATAGAGTCTAAGTTCATGGGCAAGATAATTAAGTATTAGGTACTATAAATAGTATCTTGCACTGGAAACATGAAACAAGCATTGAGGATTTGTTCTAAGCTTTATTTATTGCTTCATACTAGTGTTCTTGTTTAGTAGCATCTCTTTCAAACACTTGCAATATTTTGTTTTGTGTTTCCTTGTTCTTCTAACCCTATTATTTATGGTATGAGAGTCAAGTTCAAGCTGAACAGGACAATTAGGAAATTATCATGACATCTAATAGAAAACCTATAAGCATTTCTCAACCTCTTATCCATACCTTGGGAAAATGCTATGAGTTTTAGTGTATTAAGATAAAAACTCTATTCAAGTCTTAAATTTCAAGTCTCAAAAACGTTGGGAGTTAGTAGAGAACAGAAACGTTGTTCCATGTAAAAAATATAATAAGCTATTTTTCTTCATTTAATAGTTTGTTCACCTACTACTCAAGGCAAGTTTAGTTGATACTTCAAAATGAAATTCAAGATTCATCGAAGGTTATTACAGTAAAATTTCAAACCATTCATCGTGATATTTAAATTTGTTCATGAAAAATAATAAATTGGTTCAAGATTTTCCATCACGAGTGACTTCAATTGTTAGACAAATGAAATCTTATGATGAACATCATCATGATCATCTTGTTGTTGTAAAAGTTTTGAGAAACTTGACTCTGAAATTTGATCATATTGTTGCCAAAAAAAACCACTTCTTCATTTGAACTAATGGGTTTGTTGCAAGGTCACTTGAAAAAAAATGAGGAAAAGACATTTCAGGTCAAGGGCAGGCTTCCACTTCAAAAGATCAGGATTTTGTGCACAGGAAATGGAAATGGAAGAGGAAGAGGTTACTTTGACGGATATGATGAACAAAAGTAATCAAAAGTAGTCAAAGTTTGCATAGCTTTCAGCATTAGTTGTGAACATTTTGTTGCAGCAGTCATGTGAAATGTTCTTCATGTTTTGTAAAGGAACTCTGGACAGTTTGATTGGTCTGTTGCTTATGATGTCTCTTTTCATTTGACAGATATTCATATGTTCCTATCCAATTTAAGTCAAAGATTTCTTATTTCCAAGGAAAGGCGGACTTCAGAGATACTGAAACGTATGAGTTTTCGTTCAAGGATTATTGGGAAATTATAAGAGTGAAATTCAACACAATTATTGCACAAAGTTTAGTCACATAAAGGCATATTATTGGAAAAGATAAAACATACGTAAAAGAAAAAAAAGAAAATAGCAAGTTGTTCATGACTCACTTGCAAGTTAATAATGTCACAAATAATATTTGATTTTTGAATAATGAATATTCTAATCATTTGTTAGGCATTGTTTAGAGTAGAGAGTTAGACCTTGTGATAATGAGCAAATCCAAGTCGAAGAAAAAAAAATAGTTGAGGTGAAAACTAGTCAAGGTAAGGTAAAGCATCTTGGCAATGTTTTCTTTGTTTCTAACTTGTCACATAACTTGTGGCTATGCCAAGTGTGGGACAATTCAGGAATGATGGATATGCAGTTACATTTGACAACGATTCATACACTATCAAACAAAGAAAAACATTTGGTTTAATTATAATAAATGTTTGTATGACTCAAAACAAGATTTTTTACTTGATGTTTCAAATGTTGAAAATAGCATGTGCAAGTCAAAAAAAATAAGTCTAATTTATGTCATTTAAGATATAGACTTGGGCTAAAAGTTTTCAGGCAAAAAAAAATTATTTTTGCCTTTTTAGATTGCCTAAAATTAATGTACATGATGTATGACAAATAAACGAAGAAATCTTGTAAAAGCACAACTCATTGTCTCGAATTAGTTCATGTTGAGCTATGTGGACCTATGAACATAAAATCTTTTAGCAAAACTTGATATTTTCTATTATTTAATTATTATTATAATCACATGAGTTGGTATATTTTCTAAAATACAAATTTGAAACCTTTGATAATTTAAGAAAATTCAAGGAATTTGTGAAAAGTCAAAGTGGTAGTTGCAGAAAGACATTTCAAATAGCCAAAGATGATGAATTTTTATCTAATGAATTTAATGCTTTCTGAGAAGAAAATGACATTTGTAAGGAATTGATAGAAACATATACATAGAAGCAAAATGGTGTCGCCAAATACAAGAATCGAATGGTTGTTGAAATGACAAGAAACTTGCTTAACAGCATGTAACTTCCAAATCAATTTTGGGCTTACAATTTGTTTACTTGTTGTACATTCAACATTTCACCCATATGGGCTATTCTAAATTAAACTCCTTGTGAAGCTTTGCATGATATGAAGCCAAGGGTAAACCATTTAAAATTTTTTGAATGCATTATTTATGCTTTGGTAGATTCACAAAATCGTTATAAACTCGATAAAAAACCTGAAAAATACAAAATAATTGGTTATTCTTTGTAATCTAAAACATATCGGTTATATAATACCCTTAATGACAAATTTATTATTAACAAAAATTTCAAGTTGGAATTAGGAGAATACTGAAGGTGAAAACACATTCAAATTCCAGATCCAACAAATTCATCATCTGCCAACAAATTCACCATCAGCCTCTGATAATTCCATAGATGAAACTCCATAAAAAAAATAAAATAGATCTTTAGTAAAAATTTATGATTAACATTTACTTTGTTTATTTCAGATCCAACAAACTTTGAAGAAACACTTGAAAATGATGAATCAAAAGAAATGAAACCTAGGAGTTAATAAACCTGCCTAAACAAAAAAGGTTATAGGACTGTAATGGTTGCTCAAGATAAAGTATAATACAGACAAAAGTTTTTAGAAGCGGAAGGCAACTATTATAACTCTCAACAGATATGCCACCACCAAACTGCCACCCATACTATATGGGTATTATACGTATTATAACTATTATAACTCTCAACAGATATTGTAAATTGTACCACCAATTTACAATAATAACATGCATAATTTAACCAGAAGAAGATGCATATACTTTGCTTAAATAATGTGTAACTTAAGCCCATGTGAAAGCAGCCAACCTGAAGAAATAGGTGGACCATTGGTAGTCTTCACCTTAGTTTGAGATATATCAGCAACCACTGTTGGAATCTCTTGAAGAAGGCGCTTTCGCTCTTCAGATGTACGAAGCTTTTCTCTTTCATCAATATAAGCAAAAAGTGTAGAAGCCAGAAAAGGTCAAGGGTTAAATAATGTCAAATGAAGTTTTCTAGTTATTAAAAAGAAAATAATTGAATGCATGTTATGTTATACATGGTAAGCATGCATCCATGTTTTTTATCCTAAATCTAAGGATATTCTCTGCGCCATCCTTTCTCATTAGCTCGATCTATCAGTTTTTGTAACTTCAAAACTTCCTTATCAATCCACTGTGAAATGAAATATTTAATCAGCCTCATAAGAATAAAATAAAAGATAATTAGCATATTAGGCAAGAAATGAACTAGAGATCTTGTGATATGTAAATATTTCCTACATCTGTTCCCTTGCATAAAAGAACTATGGTGGTATCAAATAGTAACATGCAATGGGCCAAGAGCCAATCCCATTTTATCTATTGCCAGCATCACTTATTTATTCAACAAGAAATAATAGGAACCAAAAATTACAAATTTGACTATTGTATTTTACACAATACAGATATACATACATGATTCATTATGTCAGCATGAACACTTCTGATCTTCTTTTCAAGCTCTGCCTGCGAAAACAATAAATTTTAGCATATAACAACATAATTACAACAATATACACTTTTGAGCTCTCTGAAGACAAGTAGATGTCATATACACTTTTGAGCTCTCTCAATATACACTTTTGAGCTCTCTGAAGACAAGACAAGTACTAATTCATGAACCGGCTTCAGCCTTTAGGAGCATGGCGGACCCCTACAATAGCTGGAGCGCATCTACTTTTCTTCGCCGCCAAGAAAAGACGAGTTGAGCCTCGGGGAGCCACTCGTAGTAATAGTACAAAGGAATCTGCTTTCCTTTGCCACTAAAAAGAATTAGAAATATATCAGGTGAAAGGATAAGAACGCGATGGGGCCCAATGAGTACCCGATTCTCACCTCTCCCTCTATATATTTCCTAGTTCAGTCTCTTGCAGGACACGGTCGAAAAACCAGAGTTCTACTTGAGGAAACTAAGAGTCTCTATCCAGTCTTTTGTAAGCATTTTAAGCTTTCTATAGTTCTTTGTGCTTATCATTTCTTACAAATTTCTGGAAGTTCCGCTACTTATTTATGCGCTATTCTAGTTACTGGTATCAGAGCAGCATCCACGTCAAGCCGGATCAGTTACAACACCGCTGATGACGAAACATTCAGCGATGAAGAGGAAATCCGAAGCCATACAATTGCTGTCGAAATCCAACTATCCGACGATAGCGAAGGTGAAACAGAGGAATTACGTGATAACCTTAACTATTGGTTTCAGGATAATCACGTTTCAGAAGGTGGTGGGGAACGGGAACTACCATACCCCAAAAATTCAAAGAAGAAGTAGTAGCAGCAAGCCTGGAGGAAGACTTGGCAATGGAATATCCGCAACTAGCAAGACTATCTTAGCAGATATACTCATCCTCCGCTGTCTCAAACTACAGACCACCTGCAGATACTACCATGGGGCCAGCAAATTACCCCCAGCAGTAAATGTTAAGTCTACAAGCCAGAGACCAACCTATGAAGGCTACACAAGGCAACCAAGGTTCAAAGCAAAAGATTTTTCAGAAGCTTGGAACCTTCCATCAGTCTTCCAGCAACAAGGAGCCATGTTCATAATCCCATCCCAGTTGGGAATGTTCGACGAGGTATTCATGAGGTGGGAATCTATCACAAAGAATTTGGTTTCCCTTCAAGGATTTACTGACCCACAGGCTAAAATGGAATTTATTGAAAACCTACTGGGCGAATCTGAAAAATTAGCCTGGATACAATGGCGAATGGCGTATCCAGAGGAATACCAACTTCTGATGGCCAACGCTGATGGCACGGGAGGAACTCAGAATATCCTCTCGCAACTAAGAACAATATTTATTTTAGAAGATCCATTTCAGGGATCAACAACCGCCCAAGAAGAAGCATATAGAGACCTCGAAAGGTTATCCTGCACTAACCTGAAATACATTATACAATTCCTAAATGATTATATGAGGCTTGCATCCAAGACAGGACGGTTATTCACAAGCCCAGAGCTCTCGGAAAAATTATGGTCAAAGATGCCTGGAGAGCTAGGAAGGAAGATAAAGGGAGCGTTCGAAGCTAAATACAGGGGAAATACGATAGGGGTCATCCCAAGAATTCTTTTCTCCTACAAATACTTAGAAGCAAAATGCAAAGATGCTGCATTCAAAAGGGCATTAAAAGACTTATCTTTCTGCAGTGAGATGCCAATCCCAGGATACTACAATAAACTGGAAAGGAAATTTGGGGTACGAAGATCCACTACTTATAAAGGTAAACCCCACTCATCACATGCCAGGATTGAGAAGAGAAAGCACCTAATCAGAAATAAAAGGTGCAAATGCTACCTGTGTGGCGAAGAAGGACATTTCGCAAGGGAATGCCCAAATGATAAAAAGAATATCAAAAGGGTAGCGATGTTTGAACAACTTGAGCTTCCTGAAGACTACGAGATTCTATCAGTACAGGAAGGAGAAAACCAAAGTGATGCCATCTACTCCATATCTGAAGGAGAAGATGTTGAAAACCTAGAATATGGTATCCACTCTTTTACTCAAAAAAATTTTGCACTAATTGAAGATGGCAGGACCTGGTGGATAGGACCAGAGTCGGGCTACAAAGCAAGGGTCCAAGTCTCCCAAACCCAAGCCGAATGCCACCATGTGTGGGAAATCAACGGGGACCTACCAGCAAACCTAGAAAAGTGCAACTGCTGCAAACGAATCTCTCAAAGAAGACACAGGAGGCACTGCCCCTTGTGCAAAATCACCTCATGTGGGATGTGCAGCATGTATTACTTTGACAAAAGGACTCCTGTAGCACAAGAAGAACCAGTCAGGTACGAACCAAGAAATCTCCTTCAACAACAGCAAGATTATATTAACCATTGTGAAGCAGAGATTAGGAAACTTAAAATGGCCATAGAGTCAAGACAGGAAAAGGCCAAGGAACTTGAAGAAATGCATATCCAAGCAATTACCACAGCACAAGAAAACCTACGCCTGCAACAGGAAGTACAGGAATGGAAAGAAAAATAGAGCCAGCTTGAGCAAGAAGCCATGGAGGTCGAAAGACTAAGACTGGAAAAGGCTGACTTACAAAGAGAAATACTGGAAAACAAAGAAGAAACTGAAGAAGCATTCGTTCTATTGGCGGAAGAAACCCAGAAGGTCCTATCAGTAAAAACAAAAGAGGCAAGCGGCCCAAGAAAGGCCAAAAATATGCTGTTCAACCTGAAGGTACAAATAGAAATACTAAACATTCCGCCATTCGAAGTTAATGCTATATTAGATACTGGAGCAACAACCTGCTGCATAGACGAGAACGCTGCACCAGACGATGCAATGGAGGCAAATCCCTACACAGTACATTTCAGCGGAATTTCCTCGAAGATGACTGCGAACAAGAAATTAAAGGGAGGTAAGATGACAATAGGGGATAATACCTTCAGAATCCCCTATACTTATGCCTTCGCAATAGAATTAGGAGACAACATCCAGATGATAATCGGATGCAACTTTATCAGGGCAATGCAAGGAGGAGTTAGGATTGAAGGTAACATGGTTACTTTTTATAAAAACCTAACAACTATCAACACCCTACCTTACATCCCAACAGCCGCAGCAATAGAAGAATTGGACCTAGAGGAAGACGATTATATTCAGATCCAATAGGCAGTATTTTATTCAGCAGAAGCTCAGCAAAGCGACAAATATATAACGGCCAAGTTCGAAGGCCTATTGGACCAGCTGAAAGCCCAAGGATACATAGGGGAGGATCCCCTAAAACATTGGGGAAAGAATAAAATAACTTGCAAACTGGAGATCAAAAACCAAGATTTTGTGGTAGAAGACAAACCACTAAAACGTTGTTGGATATCGGGGTCATCAGGCCAAGCAAAAGTAAGCACCATCCTTGTCCAGGCAAAAGAGGCTTTCTCCAGGCATGTGAAAGCGTTGTTGGATATCGGGGTCATCAGGCCAAGCAAAAGTAAGCACCGAACTACTGCCATAATTGTCAATTCTAGAACTACTATTGACCCCATAACAAGAATTGAAAAGAAAGGAAAAGAGAGGATGGTTTTCAACTACAGGAGGCTTAATGACATCACAGAAAATTTCTGGGTCCCCGAAGGACTATATGAATGGCTGACAATGCCCTTTGGTCTCAAAAACACCCCGG